ATATTTTTAAAGTTTCCTAAAGGCATAATAGGCTGTAAGTTATCTTACTTGTTTATAATAAAGTTTGTTTTGAGTATTGCATTCACTTTAAAATTCTGAAAAAACAAAGGCTGGGCACATATAATTACAAAGCTCAGGCAACAGGAATTTCGGGTTGTATTTTCTAAGAACAATATATTTTTAGCTTAATAGTGCATTTACTTGGAAAAATGTGAGTAAAGATAATTAACATTACAAACTGAGACTCTTCTGTTTATTTTTTCAAAACTATCTTGTCTGAAAGGCTAAGACTAATTTGTGAGAAATAATTCTGATTTGTACATAAATGGCTTGAAGAAAATGTATGATCATATTGACTCCTAAATGGATTTTTCATTAGATAAATGTTTAACAAGATACATTAGATATGTCTGGGAAAAGGCAAGTTCTAAATATACACTTGGAATTGGGCTATAATTTTTTCTCAGTCTCTTCCCTCACATCATCTAATTGTTCTGAAAGTTACAAAAGTAATAGCGCATGGCTAAAATAATTTTTAAAAGTATAGAGTAAAAAATACCCTTTGACACTACCCCCTTGTCAAAATTCTACTCCTCTTCTTGGAGGAAAACCAGTGTTAAGTTTTGTATGCAAATCTGCAGACCTTTTTCCTAAGCACTTATCTATATAGGTACATGTACCCATTTTTTCGCACAAATATTGGATAATGCTTACACATTCTATAATTTTTTTCACTTAATAGCTTAGGGAAGGGTCTGGTTCCAGGTTAAGATGGTGTACACACACATTGCCCCCCTTTTATTCTCACCAAACACAGCTAAAAAATCTGGACAGAACATATCACACAGCTATTTGAGGACTCTGAAAACACCAAAACTCTGAGCACCACTGAAGTGGTGGCAAGTTTTCCATTTTTTTCCTTCTAGTATGTTCAGGCCCAAACACAGAAGCAAGCTCTGAAGTGCAGAGATGCAGAAGCCTGGATTGAGGACCAGGAAGGAAAGGAGCAGCTAAAGCTCAGAGGGTGAGGGAAATGCCCCTTTTTTCCCTTTCCTTTTTCTCTATTTTTCATGCTGGAGCTCCTAGGTAATTCCCTGGTTGCCAGTGGGAGCCCACAGAAGCCATACGTCCGAGGCAGGGGAATTTCATACGTTTCCATTTGGTAGAGCTACAGCACCAAGAGGGTGGAGCTGAGCTGATGTGCTGTTTCTCTTTCTGAAGGACCTGGCTCAGTTATGGAAGTGGGCAGTTTGGGGCTGCAGGACCAAAAAAGGGGAGACCCAGGGAACCAGAAAGCACTGGGGAGAGAGTAGAGAGGGAAGAGCTTAGGAAAGTGACTCTACAAAGTTATTTATGAACACTTTCGGCTCACCCTGACCTATTTATCTGTTCACACTGCTCACATGTGGAGCCAATCCTAATGAGCATACCAAAACCAGGTGAGAACTGAGCGAACAGGTAATGCCTGCTCAGGTTTCAGACTGAGTGCAAGGTGGCGCACATGTGGGATAGATAGCACTGCAAAAGCTTTGAAAACTGAACTGACATTGGGACCAACACCCACAGAAAGCAGGTTGGAATTTGTGGCCTCACCAGATCAGTTTCCTGCTAAAACAAAAATATCAACATTTTCTATAGGATTTAAACAAGAGCCTATGTCTCATCATGTAATGTTATATTCAAAGTGTCTAGGATGCAATCTCAAAGTATTCATTCAGCATATGAAGCACCATAAAAATATAGACTTTAAAGTAGCTAATATTAGAAAGTTCAAATGAGTAATTCCACTCTCAAATACTAAAATAGAAATTATCAGTAAAGAAATGATATAAAGAACCAGATGAAAATATTAGAACTGAAAAATATAAAAATTTAAAAAACTCACTAGATTCAATGGCAGAATGGAGATAACAAAAAGATAGATTGATAAAATCATCCAATCTGAAAAACAGAAGTGAGATTGAAAAACGAACAGTTTCTGGGACCTGTAGGATAATAATAAAAGGTCTCACGGTCATGTCACAGGCAGATAAGAGAAAGAGTGTAGTGCTTTAAAAACATCCAAATAATCAATGGGTAAAAAAACTCCCAAGACTGGTGACAGATTGGTGAAACCTTATAAATTCAATAATCTGAGTAAACCCCAAACAGGATAAACCCTTAGAAATCCATGCCCAGACACATCGTGATCAAACTGCCAAAAACTAAAAGACATCTTGAAAACAGCCAGCGAAAAAGGATATAATACTTACAGGGAAACAATGATTTGAATGAAAGCAAAGTTTTCAACAGAAACCATGGAGATGAGAAGGAAGTGGCCCATTTCTTAAAGTGCTGAAAGAAAACTGTCAACACAGAACACTATATCCAATGAAATATCCCTCAGGAATGAAGGTGAAATAAAGACATTCTGAGATAAAGGAAAACTAAAG